TATCTCAGATTCTCCAGCATCTGCAGTTCCTACTACCTCTGCAATTCTTTGTTTGTTTTTCCATAGACATTGCCCTGTCCACTACCTTAAATCACCTCCTACCTGTCATGAATCTATGGTGGCTCTTCCTGATTAACAGAAAATTTTCAAGGTATTCAGTTACCCCAAACTTATTTCTCGACTCTCAACAATTTCCCCACCATAGATGTTAGGCTAACTGGTCTGTAATGCTCTGATTGGAATTGTACCTGGCACAAAAGAAGATGGTTATGATTCTTGAGGTCAGTTTTCTCAGCGCCAGGACATCTTTACAGGAGTTCCTAGGCGCAACTATCTTCAGCTGCTTCATCAATGACCTTCCTTCCATCACAGGGTCAGAAATGAGGATGTTTGCTGATCATTGCACAGTGTTCAGCACCATTCATGATTCCTCAGATACTGAAGCAAACCCTGGCCAATATCCAAGCTTGGGCTGAAAAGTGGCAAATAATACTCACACCACACAAATGTCAGGCAGTGACCATCTCTAATAAGAGACAAATCTAACCATTGCCCTTTGACATTTAATGACATTACCATAACTGAATCTATCACTATCAACAATCTGGGGGTTAAATTATTTTATTTAACTCTTTAAAGCTCAGTATAGGTTTGTCCAGGCTGTTTCTCTAAGTTCTGATACCTTTGCCTGTATGCTTCTGGCACCACCTCATATGTACTTCAAGTGTCCCCTTTCACTCATCAGAATCCCAAGAATTTATTCCCTCTGACAGGAATGTATAAATCTCTTATGCTTTACCAGTGAATTTACTTTGCAGGGGCAGGATCCAATCTGCTTTTGCTCATTTGTGTTGATACCTTCTCAAATGACATGAAAAATCATTCCAGATTCTTCTCTTCAAATTTTGGCAAAGCCTGCACAATCTTTAATATCTCCTGACTGAACTTGGATTATGTCTAGAACTGTCATCTTCCATGTTTTCCCAAATCTCTGGTTTTACTTGCCAAAGCTGTAGTGGATTTAATTTAAATGCTTGTTCTATCTCTTTCTCTCCTTCTTTCCTCCCTTTTTTGCTCTTGTCCCTCCCTTTCTCTCTTTCTTCCCTTTGGAATTCCAGTTTTTTAAGTTCAGACTCTCTTTGGAATTCCCTTCCTTTTTCCGCACTTTGGAATTCCTTCTTTAATTTTCTCATTTCTGTTTGCTTGAACTGGAACTCAGTGTTCACTGATGTTTTTGATGTACTGCCTATACCACCTGGCCTCTCTATTTCCACTAAACTCAACTGTTTCATTACTAAATCTCTAATGTTCACCTTCTTAACATGCTTGAGCAAATTTATTTCTAATCTGCTGGCTAACTCTGATAGTTTAGCTTTAGTTGTACCCTGCAAATGTGCCAGGGAAACTTCTAACGTGTTCAAAAACTCTTTAACAATTTCCAGTGCCATCTTAAGTCTGAGTACAAACCTGGTGTCTGATTCCCAACTGTCAGTACCAAAATTCAATTCCATTCCAATGTCCAATGTTGCCTGCTTTTCAAGATCTCTGGTGAGCCCTCGATTATGTGTTGCTATCTTCTCAAATGACATGAAAAACACTTCCACATCCTTCTCTTCAAATTTTGGCAAAGCCTGCTCAATCTTAAACATTTCGTGACTGAACTGTGGACTATTCCTACAACCTTATAGACTTCTGAATAACCAATCCAGACTTAATGAACAATTAATCTCAGGGATAGTAGGAACTGCAGATGCTGGAGAATCTGAGACAACAAGGTGTAGAGCTGGATGAACACAGCAGGCCGAGCAGCCGCTGACGTTTCGCGCCTAGACCCTTCATCAGAAATGGGGGAGGGGAAGGGGTTTCTGAAATAAATAGGGAGAGAGGGGGAGGCGGATAGAAGATGGATAGAGGAGAAGATAGGTGGACTGCTTTGCAGAACACCTACGCTCGGTTCGCAATAAACAACTGCACCTCCCAGTCGCGAACCATTTCAACTCCCCCTCCCATTCCTTGGACGACATGTCCATCCTGGGCCTCCTGCAGTGCCACAATGATGCCACCCGAAGGTTGCAGGAACAGCAACTCATATTCTGCTTGGGAACCCTGCAGCCCAATGGTATCAATGTGGATTTCACAAGCTTCAAAATCTCCCCTCCCCCTACCGCATCCCAAAACCAGCCCAGCTCGTCCCCACCTCCCTAACCTGTTCTTCCTCCCACCTATCCCCTCCTCCCACCTCAAGCCGCACCCCCATCTCCTACCTACTAACCTCATCCCGCCCCCCTTGACCTGTCTGTCCTCCCTGGACTGACCTATCTCCTCCCTACCTCCCCACCTACACTCACCTTTACTGGCTCCATCCCCGCCTGTTTGACCTGTCTGTTTCCTCTCCATCTATCTTCTCCTCTATCCATCTTCTATCTGCCTCCCTCTCTCTCCCTATTTATTTCAGAAACTCCTTCCCCTCCCCCATTGCCAATTAATCCCAGGCACCAGTTTTGTATCTTCAACAAAATAAATTAACAATTTATTTAACACACAATAACTTTAGCAGAGAAAAAAGTAAGTAATCAGATAACCTAATTAATGTCTATGCTTTAAACCTGAAATTTTGTTTTCAGCTGCCATTCACACAAAGCTCAGGCAAACACAGTTAAGGGATAGATAAAGGAAAATTATAAAACTTGCCAGATTACTTAAATAGTTTTCATAATACATAGTTTTATGAGCATTGCTGTGGATTCCTTGGTTGCCTTTCTGAAACGTTGTTCAGAGTCACTTTTTCAGTTGAGTCAGGTAAAGATAGTAATATTTGTAACTCAGCTTTTTACTCTTTGGCCTTTCAGAAACTCGTTTGGGAGATTAGGCAGGGAATTTTCAAATATTCATGCTGTGTCACCAAAAAGCGCAGTTCGATACCAATACCTTCAGCCGTGGTTCTACCCTGATGACTGACCATCTTTTCCTAAGACCTCAATTATCATTCAACATTTGCCATCTGCATGAATATAGGGTCTCTTCCAGAATTGTCAGAACCAATTCTCAAGTAATGAGTTTATTAATAGTCCACTTCTGCTAACTGTTTAAATACAGTGCTCTTCCTGGTGTTGCTGTGTCTGTAAGGACACTTTTAATCAAGAGTCAGCCTGCAATTAACCTCTAAGCTTAGTCTCATCAATAAACAAAAGCTTATTTGGTCTGTTCTTTTCCTTTTACCGTATCACTAAGTTCCTTGGCTCACGGTTCCTAGTTCACAGCTCCAATCTAGCTAACGAAATAATAAAAATAAAAACAATGAAATATCAGCGAGGATTCTAACACATGAGACATTGAACAGAAGATTAAGCTGCTTCCTGAGTTAGACACAACACATCCCATGGTACTAATTGAACAAAAGCAGATGAGTTCTAGTGTCCCAGCCAGCATATATTCCTCAATATATTTTTAAAATAATTGTCATCTTTCAATACTGTTTGTGAAACTTTGCTGTGAGCAAATTGACTGTACTTCAGAACTACTTTTTCAGTTATGAAGTGCTGGGATGTTTTGCAATTATAAAAGCTGCATATAATTGCAACCTTGCCTTATTGCAAATTTGATTTCTTATCAAGTTGTGTTGTTTAATTATTTTTGTGTGACTTTTTCTCCTGCTTATGAATACTCTAATTAGGAAATGGTTTCCTAGCTATACCCAATGGCAGGACACTGCTAAACCAACATGGAGGATGTCTTTTCCCTTATGCATACTTTGTTTCTGATTCAACTTTAGAAGATCAGCTCTTACCCTGTGTTAACTTGTTACCCAGAGTTGCAATGCTGCTTATCACGCTGAATTTGAAAGCACCCCTACATTTGCTTTGTATCTGCTGAACCTGTGTTAAGAATAAACTTATTTCTCTTAGGACATTTAGAGGAGTGAAAATCTTCATCTACTTGGATTACATTTGAACCCAGGTGTAGAAGCATGTGTGACAAGATTTAAGCGAATGTAATGCATAAAATCTGTTTAAACCATTTTCATCTTTTATATTCTCTAGGAGGACTCAACTTTAAGCAAGGCAGAACAGATTCTTCAAGAATGGAAAAGTACATTGCTGACCCAGTGATCACTCCATTACAGTGAATTTATTATTTTCTAATTCAGTAATTGTACATTTTTAATTGTATTTCTCTTACTTGAAAAAAGATACAATTTTCAAATCTATGCACAAATGCATTGTAATAGTCTAATTTGAACAGAAAATGACCCTAGATGCTGCTGAGGACGGTCTTTTTTGCCATGCTTTGAGGCCTGGATGAAACATGAAATGGCCAGAAGCTCTTAAACTTCCAGTTAAGGGATTTCCAATGTCAGCCCCGCATCTAACTCGAGCAATATTGACAGACTGGAGTGCCTTTGCCAGGGAATGTTGCAGAAACTGGTGAAATCTGAAACCAAGTCGGTGGCTGCAAATATTAAAGCAATGTGAGTTTTGATCTTAGTGTAATTATTGGTGTATTAGTACTGAAATGTTCAATGTTTTTAGGTGTATAATTTAATATAGTGCATCATTTAATTATTTTTCATCAACCTGCTCAGTCATGTTATGCACTCCAGGACAGATTGGATTTGAACCTGGACTGTCTTGTCCAGAGATAAGGATACTATCATTGCATCACAAGACTCCTTCAAATGAATTTTTATCAATCCGTTGGACATGTTCTTATGACCCAGAGGTAGGCACACCACCATGTTTAGTTGGTGCCTTGCCTGAGGGATGATTTAAAATTGTTGGTTAAATAATTGATTACATATAGCTGTTACTTGCTGTGTATATTTTTTTAACAGCAGTTTGATTATATAGGTTAAGACTGAGCTAACTTAGTTGCCACATTTGTAAGTAAGCAGAATGCTATGTGTGTGCAACTTGTAGATTGATGATGATCGCACTGTGTTCTGCAGGAAACTCATTACTGCATAGGAGATTGTTTTTATTTTCACTGTTCTACATGATTAGCTTAAATTCAGCTGTGTGTTAATGTGAGGACATAAATTTGAATTAAAAATGCTAAATATGTTTCAACATTGCATGTATTTTAAAAAATCTTTTCTATGTTTTAACGTATCTGCTTAGCATTTTTTTGTATAGACATGTCAGCTTAAAATGCTGTACGAGCTGCTGCTCATGTTGAATGTTGCCACTATCATCCTCTGTATAAATATAGGAAAACGACTTCCTGGTCTATTTACAAGAGTCTCCTGTAATTAACAAGGTATGGTTTATTTCATGTTAGTACTTAGTCACAAAGATGTTGAGGAAGACCAGATGTTTGGTCTCCCGCTGTCAATATTGTAAGCTGATCTGCCAGCAATTGTATAATATGCGAATGCCACTGTTCTGTTTTAACCCTTTCAGATCTAATACAGTGTTCATACACCTGTGTACATTGTTCATGAACTTATCAGCGGGTCAGAGACCCAAATCATATGTTAACCCTGTGAGACATCTCAGCTGAGGCTGAAGCAGTGCCAAGATGGTTCTGTCTCTTAAGCAGGAGACTGTAACTGATGTTTAGGCAGACAGTGAAGTTGCCTCTTATGTTTTGCAGAATGCTACATACAGAAATAAGCATTGCAATAAGAACATGATAACAAGCATGAATTTCATTGCAGTGTGTTTCCCTAATACTATCATCACTAATTTCAAATCTGTTATTTTTCACTAAACTTTTGGTGGCAGCGCTTTTATGTAATTTCTATGTTGCAATCTTGGGGTATTCTTCCTGTACGTAATTTTAAAACAAAATCATGACTTCATTTATGAGAATAGTTCATTAAATACTTTTTAACACCTGGAAAATGGGGCAACCCATCCACCCTTCAGCAGTCTCTTAGGAAACAATGACTGAAGGGTTTGATTATTTAGTTTCCTAAATGTTTTAATATATATTCTTGTTCTTTTTTATGTTCATTTTGAATTGAAGGGTCTCAATGTTAGGAAATTGAAAATATTTAAACTTTTGTCACCAATCTCATCAGACTCTCCTAAGTTGTAACACAGAGAGGTAAATTCCAATTACTTTGCTGCATTGTATTAGTTTGACATTCTCCGTGCCTGTTATTCTTACGGTCTCTTACAATTATCAATTTAGTAATACCTAGTAGCTAATGTTGAGATTTTATGCCATTTAGATGCCACAATTTTTTTCCCACATAGTATTATATCCAACAAACAAAACATTTTCAGGACAGAACCCAGGTTCTAGAGGGGAAATTATACAGTTCCCTGGCCTCCTTTGCTATTTTAAATAAAAAGGAATCCAAGATAATTCAGCCTATCTTGCCAAACACAATTGTCCAGAGCATGCCCCATTTAGACTTGTTGCCATCTTTCTCTGCTAGAGAGGACATGCTGACATAGTAATGCTTTAATGCTCAGGATACTTTACAGTTTTATTGTCAGCTCCTTCCACATAAAAATGTTGATTGTGACAAAGGGGTGAATTGTGATGCATACCGGACTGCGCCTATAGAATAAGTTGAAAGAGTTATCCAATCAGTTCCACTGCCCCTTTTTCCACAGAGCCTAGGACAAGTGACTGCAGGATATTGGTGGTTGATCCTGATTTCATGCTCCTAAAGATGGAGATAAACAAAATCATCCCCAGTTGATGCCACTAGTATTTTGGTTTCATCTTCTTGGACAACCATTATTTCACCTAAACAGATTGACATTTTGACTTGAGAAAGTGAAAATCTGGACTGCTGGAAAAAAATGAATCCTGGAATAACACATCAAAAGAAACACAAGAAATAGAGGCTAGAGTAGGTTATATGACCCTTAAGGCTGCTCCCTCAATTAACAATATTGAGACTGATCTTTGGCTTCAACTCTACTTTCCACCAAAATCATACGTCACTTAATTCCCTTGGAATCAAAATATCAATCAGTCCCTGTCTTGACTATCACAAAGACCAAATCACAACACATTAACTACCTGCTAAGAGTCATGAGTCTGGGCAATTTCAATCCATGGGACAGCACAAAATTTCACAGTGTGCCAGGCTGGACTTTCAGTAAAGTGGCGGTCTTTGTTAGGAGTTCTAGGATTTAGATCCAATTTCATTAAACACTAATGTTTGTCCAAGTCAGCATGCTATGTGGCTTGGAGATCAGGGTATTCCCATACATTTGCTGCCCTTGTTCTTTAAGGTGGCTGTGGTTTGTGTTTGTGAGTTCATGTTGAAGAATTGATGAGTTGCCACACTACATCTTGTAGCCAGTACGCTTGCCACAGTGGTGAGTGTGTGTATTTGGGGGAGGGTGTGATTGGGTGGGGAATGGTTGAATGGTTTAGTTCCAAATGTAAGGCACTCAACAGTGTGTCCTAAGCCCCCATTCTACTGGACTGATTAAACAAAAACTTTAGCTTCTGTCGTTGAAGCTCCAAGCTGTAGCACAGAATTCAATTTGCCTGAGAATAGTTTCAAAACTTGTCTTGTAGAATTTCGGTAATTATTTTTGTAAAAGTAACTGATTTGGATTTTACTTGAGATGAAAAACAGTACCTTGTCATTTGGCTAGTGTTTGTCAAATGTTGTTGAAGAAACCACTAAACCTGCTTAAACTGCACAAAATCTCTGCAGTTAAGTGTCATCACAAGGTTAAAGCTCAGGCAGCCTGAAGTCTTCACTCAAGATTTTTAATTTTAAAATGCAGTAAAAGCAGTTCAGTGGATAAATGTAGCATGTCATTGTGAAATGCTGATGCCAATTGAACTAAAGAGTATTTTCAGCACTTCCTGTTTTTGCTTAAGATTGCCAACATTTTCGGTTTTGTGCTTTATGCAAGGAAAGAAGGAGATTGGATTTAAAAAAAAAGGTCCTTTTCATCATCTTAGGTCATCTGTCAGTACATTAAGAACAATTATGCACTTTTAGAAATGAAATCGAGGCTGCAATGGTAGGAGAGAACTGAGAGTTAATTTTCACACTATGATTATAGGCAGTAATGCTGTTGGTGGATTCGGGAAATGAAAAGGGAGAAAAATATGTGAAGAAGTAGTAATCCTGTCCTCAACAACAACAAAAACAGCAGCTAAGACTTCTACTTGCATCTATCCGTAGGGAATCAGTCTAATTTTCTTGCTACTATTCTCCGTGAAGCAGGAAATTTAAAATTTATTGAGAATTTTAAAAAGTGTTGAATATATATTCATTTTTGTTGGTTATAAAACAAACAAACCGTATCAAATGTTTGACCGTATCAAACAAGTGTTAAGCATCATTTGATTTGTTGATGTTTTATCAATACTAGCTTCTAAGGTAAAATCTTATGCTATGAATTTTTAATATAAAGTACTGCTAGATACTTTGCCGTACAACTCTTTTTGTCCTTGATTGTGAATGTTGCGTTGATGAGCATTTGTTGCCTGTCCCCAGTTTCCATTGAGAGGATGGTGTTGTGCTGCTTTCTGGAACTGCTGCAGTCCAAGTGTTCCATGTGGACCCATAATGCTGTTAGGGAGGGAGTTCTAGGATTTTGACCCAACATCTCTGGAGGAACAGTGCAATATCTCCAAGTCAGGATGGTGAGTGGCTTGGAGGGTAATTTTCAGGCAGTGGTGTTTCCTGTATCTGCTACCCTGATCTTTCTAGATGATAGTGGTCATGGGTTTGGAAGCTGCTGTATAAGGATCTTGGGTGAATTTCTGTGGCATGTCTTGAAGATAGTACACAGTGCTGCTACAGAGCACCAGTGATAGAGTGACTGAATGTTTATGGATGTAATGCCGATTAGCAGGCTGCTTGTTCTGGATTGTGTCAAACTTCTTGAGTATTGTTGGAGCTCCACACATCCAGCCAAGTGGGAAATATTCCACCATACTCCTGACCTGTGCCTTGGTGGACTAGGTTTGGGAGTTAGGAGGTGAGTTACTCGGTGCAGTGTTCCCATCCTCTGATGTGCTCTTGTAACCACTATATTTATATGGCTGGTCCAGTTCAGTTTCTAGTTAATAGTAACATCCAAAGTGTTGATAGTTGTGCATTCAGTGATGGTAACACAGTGTATGTCAAGGAGTGGTGGTTAGATTGTGTCTTACTGGAGATGGTCAATGTCTGGTGTTTTTGTGATCTGAATATTACTTGCCACTTTTCAGTCCAAGTCTGGATATTGTCCAGATCTTGCTACATTTGGAGATTGACTGCTTCAGTATCTGAAGAGTTGAATGGGACTACACATTGCACAATCATTGGTGAACATGCCCACTTCTGACCTTATGATGGAGGGAAGGTCATTGATGAAACAGCTGGAGATAGTTGTGCCTAGGACACTACCTTGAACTCCTGCAGATAAGTCCTGGAGTTCAAGTGAGTGACCTCCAACAACTACAACCATCTTCCTTTGTACCAGGTATGACTTCAAGCAGGGGAGAGTGTTCTACTGATTCCCATTGAATCCAGTTTTGCAAGGGCTCCTTGGTGCTACACTGTATCAAATCCAGCCACGATATCAAGGGTTGTCACTCTTACCTTTCTTAGTCACTTTTGTGAATTCAGTGTAAATGTATTCCTAACTTATTTTTTGACACTCCTTTTCATATCAGATATTCATTTACTTACATTCTTTCCAATGTCTGTAGAGTCTCAACTTAGATTTTGAATTTGTTTTTTTGAAAGAATAAAATTATATTTTGTGGATTCAACTAGAAGTTACAAAATAAAATACTGATGAATGCAAACAGCTCAGTGATTAGCTCAAATAAAAATAGAAAATACTGGAGAAACCCAGCAGGTCTGGCTAGACCTGTGGAAAGAGGAACACAGTTAATGTTTAACTTCAGTTCTGAAGAAGAGCCAGATTGGACGCAAAATGTTGTTTCTGCAAGAGTTCTGCCAGACCTGCTGAGTCTCTGCATCACCAAGAAGTAAACAGAATCATCATTCAGCCTAACTCGTCCACTTCACTGGCACCCCACATCGTTGTCTGCAAGCCTCAGCGTCACATCATGCTGTGCACTCAAGGCTCATGCCTACCTCATCCTACCTAACGACTTACTCTTGCTGCCCACTGCACTTCTTATTCACTCACTGGGGGTGGCTCACCATCTCACATGATTATGCGTACTCATAACTGCTTCGTACCATTCCCATCACTTTGAATTCTTTACACTATCTCTTTGCAGGATCAGCGGGCCCACGATTGTGCCAAGAGAACCAACACCAGTAAGGATGTGCCTTATATAAAGATTCTGCACCCCACCTCCAATGAGGAAATGGCTGTCAAGCTGGCCAGGAAAAGTAGAGATGCATGTGATAAGGGAATATTGGTGATTAAGGGCGATTTTAATCTACACATAGATTTGGCAATCAAATTAGACACAATGCCTTAGAGGAGGAATTCCTGGAGTGTATACAGGATGGTTTTCTTGACCAGTAT